ACACAAAGGCCAGCAGGAATTTGGTCTTTGACAGAGAATCTGTTCAACCTGAATCCATGGTGGGGTGGGCTCTAGAGCATGAATGGCTCCACAGAGCTAGGCTTATCTGGAAGCCAAGGCTTGGCCTTGTGGAACCCACGTCCATCAGTCCTTGGTCATTGTGTGAGACCAAAGCAGCTCCTATTAGCAAAGGCCAAGGCTCCAAGGAAGGGCCAGCTGTGAGCTATTCTCAGCTGACCTCATGGCAGGCAGGGAGTGGGAATGCCAACCAGCAAAGTGGGACCCACAGCATCCACTATGCCTCGCTTTGGGCCATGGCTTCTGAACAAGAGAAGGAAGGAAATATGGACTCAGAGGCCCGGCCTGCTCAGAACCCTCGACCCATACTGTTTCCTTTGTGAGGCCAAACAAAGTGATCTTTGACAATCTGACTTGCTGGCCCAGCCAGGGAGTGAGGTAGGGAATGGAAGTCACCAGCCAGAGCCAGCAGGCTGACCCCACACTCTGGCAGAGCCAACCCTTAAAAGGAAACCACAGTGTGCTAATGTCACAGGACTGGCACTCCTCCAACAAAAGGGAGGCTGCGGCTGAGTTCATAAGAAAGCCAGAGGAGGGGAGCAAGGAATGGAAGAGATGAGGGAAGAAGGAAAAACGCTGGGGTGGAGGTGCCGAGGTGAGGGCATTGGATCATTCCCCCTGCACAGCTAGACTTTCAGGCTGAGTCCTCATTCCATGCCTCTTCTTCAAACTTTCCTTTGAGATTCATCAGGCAGTCCTCCTTTGGGGAAACTGCCCAGGCTTTCTCTCTTTCTCCAGTAGTTTCCTGCAAGACCTCATTTCTAGGATCTAGAAGATTCTTCCTCATGTGATAAATTATCTTTTGGTAAGTTAATAAAAAATGAAATTTTCTTATTTATTCCTCTCCATCCCATACCACCACAGTACAGAACAGGTAGCAGATAGTCCATATGCTTGGATGTAGTAAGTAGGAAAGAGCCCAAGGAAAAGGATTCACTACCTGTCTAAGGCAGAATACCAACAGTGGCCAACCTCTAAGTCCAATAAGGAAGGAGGGAAGTGGCCAGGGTCTGGGGAAATGAAAGCTCACTAGATAGCATGCAATAATGTCTCCCTCCGGTTCTGCCTCCTAAGCCCCAGCATGTGGTCAAGGACAGACCACTGGGCCTGCCATGAAGCTGAGAGACAAAGGCACGCTGGGCTGAGTAGCTCTGGGCAGTCAGGAGTCATCTTCTTCACCCAAATACTGGCATAAAGCGTTCTGTCCCTAAGGAGATGATGACAGGCCACAGGACCCAGACAGGAGGTGTGCTGGGCACATGATACCCTGGCAGGAAGTGGCAGAGAAGGCTGCTGTGGGCTCCTGAGTTTCCCTCTGGACTGGACACAAGTGTTTCCTGCATGGACCAGAGGCAGGAACCACAGCAGCTTGACACTGGTCATTTGGCTGTATGGTTTCAGTGCTGGCTAAAGGAAACAGTCTATGTGGATCCCCCCCCACCACAGCACCAGAGATGACTGGGCCTCCAGGAATAGTGGGTGTGTCCCAGCATGAATGCTGCAGGCCTCCCCTGTTAAATATTGACATTGCTTTCCTCCAAATATTTTTTCAAGTTTTGTCAGTCTTTTTTTGTGAAAGAAACATTATTGGAGTTTTTTTTAAGGCAGCTTTTAAAAATGTTTTCAAGGTATGTTTGAGAATGAGATTTATCTTCCTAACTGAATATTTTTCAGGGCTTATATAAGTGTTAAAATGTGTCTAGTAGCCCAGCTAGTTAAACTCCAATGCAAATGAAACTAATGTGGATCATGAACCATGGTAGAAAATAATTATGAAACACTCTTCCATTGGCCCCACGGTACACCCCTATTACAGTTCCAACCGACTTGCAAACGTCTACAATCTATCTGTCACAAGAAGAATTAAATAACGGTGGTTAATGAACTAGAAAAAAAGTCTATTTCCAGGGCCCAAGGGAAAACCAGCCATCTGTTTGCCCTCTGATAGTATTGTCAACATGTCTGTAGATAAAGATTATATAAACATTCGTTCTTCTTCTGACTGGTCTAAGAGACAAGGAGAAATCAGTCTGAGTTGATCAGTCCACCATCCTTAAGCCTTTACTGAGCTTTGTAGTGAGGACAACTCAACCTCCTGTAAGTAGAAGGACTTAAAATTATAACCCCAATTTGTAGGTAGGATCTCTCTGCGGAAATGCTGCCCAGTAGAACTCTCTGCCCCACTGAAATGTTCTGTACCTGTACCATCCAACATGAAAGACACTAGCTACATGTGACTACTGGCCAACTGAACTTATGTTTTGGCTTTTCTATATTGCTGTTTTGGGTTTTTTTTTGTTTGCTTGTTTTTGTGCCAATACTGAGGCTTCAATTCAATGATTCTCGCTCTTGTTTCGCTATTTTGCTCAAGACTGGAACTCTACCACTTGAGCCATGCTTCTGTTTCTGGCTTTTTGCTAGTTAGATGGAGATAAGAAAGAGTCTCTTGCATTTATCTGCTGGGCTGGCTTCTAACCATGAACATCAGCCTCCCAAGTTGCTAAGATTCCAGGTGTGAGCCACCAGGAACCTGGCTGAATTTATGTTTTCAATCTCACTCAACTCACATGGTCACATGTAGCTAGTGGCTACCATATTAGACAACACAGCTCTAGAACAAAAATGGTGACAAAATAAGGCTAATATGTATGCAACAAAGAGTATACCCCATTTTCTGGTTGCAATGGCTTGCATATAGTATACAATTTCAACTGTCTTGAGATAAAAAGATAAATTCCCGTACAGTTATTATTAACTTTATATATTGTTTTTTTAATTCCGATGGCTTAATTACCATCAGTCAATGACTTTTTTTTTGCAGTACTGGGGTACCAGCTGAGCCCCATGCCTCCAGCTCTTTTGCTTTAGTTATTTTCAAAATAGAGTCTCATATTTATGCTAAAGCCAGCCTGGACTGTGATCCTCCTATTTATGTTTCCTCACTTAGCTGGGATGACAGACATGAACTACCACAACCAGCTCTTGGTTAAAATGGGATCTCACTTTTTTTCTCAGGCTGGTCTTGAACTGCAATCTTCCTGATCTCTGTCTCCTGAGTAACTGAGATTATAGACATGAGCCACAGTGCCCAAAAGTCCGTGGTTTACTTTTTAGCAGAAAAGAGGCACTGTTACTCTCAAAAAGACTGGGAATCTCACACATTAGCACAATCAGCAAAAGAAAGAAAAGAACATAAAACTCTCTTCACCTGGATATTTCCTCCTCTTCGAAGGAGCGAAGCCTCTGAAAGCATAGTCTCATCTTTGAGAACAAAGATCTCTTTCCCTCCCTTCCTCATTACTATTTTTCTGCCATTGGAATGGAATACCATCCACTCTGCTCTGCCCACCCTTGTGTTTCCAAGCTTACAGGTGGTATGCCTGTATGGCTATGTGAACCCCTGGGGCAGGCTCTACTCACCTGAGCACATCTCCCCCTTGTAGCGAACACAGGAGAAGTCATCACACTCGCAGTACTTGCCGGTGATCTTGCCAAAGTCACTGCTGTGGCAGACACACTGGCCACAGAGGCACTCGCCTCGCTGGCTGCAGGCCGGCTGGCCCTCCTTGGGGCTGCACTCATCCTGCTGAGAGGGCCGGTAATCCTCCTCGGAACACTCACACTGGGACCCCAGCCAACCGGGCCCACAGCGGCACACCCCACACTCGAAGGTCCCATTGCCATGGTTGCAGCGCTGGCTGAAGGGCTGGGCATGGGCCTGGCAGGCACAGTCACAGTCAAAGGTGACCTGGACTGTGAGGCTGTCCTTGAAGCCCACAGGCTTGATGGTGAAGGCTTTCTCTTTCTCCTTGGGACAGCCACGCACCTTGGCTTCGATGCTGAAGCTCACCTGGATGGAAAGACAGATGGCATTCAGGCCCAGTTAGCACTCCAGCCCTGGAAGAATGCAAAATTTTCCCTGTTCATGTCCTGCCACCAAATCCCAAATTGAGTCTCTAATCTGCCTGTGATCCGAGTCCCGTGGCCTTCCTTCTACCAAGTTCTGCACAGCAAGAACAAGAACACTAGGGAAGTTGTGCCACTGGGACTATCTGGCTAGACACAAAGAAAGACCTGGTCACAAACAGGAAATAGAAGGTTTCCTATACTTGAAGCAAACCAGGTCAAGCAGAACAGAGTCTTCCGAACTTGTAAAACACTGTACTCCGGCCAATGAAGCCAGCTGGGCTGATGACATAGTATCAGCAAGACATACAAAGTACTACTTCAAGTGGTGCTGTGGCTCAAGCAATAGAGTGCTCACCTTGAGCTGAAGAGTGCAAGGACAGTGCCCAAGCCCAGAGTTCAAGCCCCACAACCAACCAAAACAAAACAAAACAAAACAAAAAACAAAAAATCAAACAAAAAAAACACAAAGTACTACTTCATAGTCTATAATGCCACAGAGTGTGCAGCCATAAACTGGAGGATTTCCATTATAACATTTCATCACAAGCAAACATTTCTTACATGAGATGTGAGCACATGTAACATAGAAAATCAACTAACTAAGATCAATAGATGTACTGAAAGATTGATGTTTCCAAGATTCATTTCCCTCCCTTTTTCCTCACTCCTTCACCAATCTCTCTCTCCTTAAACAGAGCAGAAGAGGACTAGTGAATAAGAAAAGCTGCAGAGAGCCAGGCACTGGTGCCCCATGCATGTAATCCTAGATACTCAAGAGGCTGAGATCTAAGGATTATGGTTCAAAGCTAGCCCAGGCAGGAAAGTCTATGAGACTCTTATTTCCAATAAAACACCAAAAATGGCAGAGGTAGAACTGTAGCTCAAGTGGTATAGTGCTATCCCTGAGCACAAATGCTAAGAGACAGTGTCCAAACACTGAGTTCAAGTCCTAGGATTAGCATAAGAAAGGAAGTAAGGAAGAAATGAAAAAAGAGAGAGAGAAAGAGAGAGGAAGGGAGGGAGGGATAAAGGAAGAGAGGGAGGAGAGGGAGGGAGGGAAGGGGAGAAGAAGGGGAGGTAATGGAAGAAAAAAAAGAAAGAAGGAAGGAAGGAAAGAAAGAAGGGTATAGAAAAAAGGAAGGTGCACAATGGACATTTATATTCTTAAATTTCATGAGGCAGGTATTTCTTCCTGTTCCATTTGCTGTTGAATTGCTAGTAGCTAGAATGATGCTAGTATATAGTTAGTGCTCAATAAAAAAAGAAAAGATGCTATTGCCATTTTGTACTGCAAAGAAAAGACATTACCTTTCAAAAGGTAAAAATAAGGAATAGGTTTTTATAGACTGGAAGTCTGGCTCCAGCTTGCCTAGCAAGCACAAGACCTTGAGCTCAAACTCTAGTATCAACAGACACAGACACAGACACACACATGCACACAGACACACACACACACACACACAAACACACACAAACATTTTTATTTGCAAGCAAATGTGTATATAGAAACAGAAGTAACCACAATAAAAGTTCTTAAAGCTCCTGGTAGTGAAATTCATTCTGCAGATGCAGAAAGTGTAGGAAATAGAAACGTCCTCAAATACATCTAACTTGTAATGTCCTTCAGTGAGAAGATGTGGGAAAGGCAGGGATTGGAATGTCCATGGGTACGCAGAGGCCCAGGCCAGAGTCAGAGCTGCAAATATGGCCCTTGCCTGTCCCACCTCACCGTGTCTCCAATCTTGAGCCCCACACAGGACTTGAGGCCTGGAATGACCTCGTTGTTCAGGCAGGTAGCATTGAAGGATAGAGACAACTCCTCAGGGAGGTCACGCACTTCCAGTTCAACTTTCGAACGGATTTTCTGAGTAGAAAAGGGCAAAAGGAGGAAAGGAAATGAGCTGAAAGGAAATGGGCCAAAGCCAGTTGCATCCCAAGTAAAGTCTATCAGGAGACCTTGGACTTACCCTAGGGTGAGTGGCCTAGCAGCTGCTAGAGCATCCTAGGAGCTTGTTTCCTGTTCTATTTCCCATATGGAAATCTGCTCCTGCTTCTGGTCTCTACAGCCTCCACATGAGTCTGGGCAAATTCCAAACTAGCTATACCCTGCTGCTAGCCTCATAAACATGTAACAGGAAGGATTCATGTGGGTCATCTTAGATAGAAACACTGGTTACCTAGTTGTGGTTGTTTTTAATCAACCTTATTATCTCTGGTTTTGCTGTATCTTTTCTCTGTTGTTGAAGCCTGCTCTTTCACTCTGCCTCTACCTCATCCCACCTAATTCTACCTTCTCTATGTTCCCCACTCGTGGCTCCTGCTGTTCCCTCCCATCCCTTCCTAGGTCATTTCCTTCTCAGAAAGCTGCACATCTCCCAGGGTTGGCATTGCTGACCTGGAGAATGTAACAAGCAGAAAATCTACCTGGTACCCTGGCAACCAGGATTGCCAAATCTTCCAGTGAAGAACAGCAAGTTTGACTCAGCAAGGCCCATTCCCAGTATAAGACACTTACACTATATGCATCAACAATGAGCTGGAGAACATTGCTGGAATCAGCAGACAGAACCCCCACTGTGGTCCCTGGGATGAGTTCACTGTAGTTCTAGAAAGGAAAACAAAGATGTCAGAACTTACAGAAGGGAAGTGATGGTCTTCCTAAAGCCTACCCCAAATCAAACTAAGAGTCTTGAACTAAAGATTGGAGCAAGGTTTGGGATATTTCACTTGTCTTAGCCAGTTATTTAGCCCTGAGTAAAACAATAGGAAATTCCCTCCATTCCCCCACCACAAATACAAGCATACCCTTCCCAGTAGGCTAGAGGTTAGAGGCAAAGGGCAATGTGAAGGAATGCTAAGCACCCAGGGAAATGAATTGAAACAGGATCTTTCCCAGTTAGGACCCTGGTAGCATGGGTTGGTTGCCTGGGAAAGGTCCATCTATCACGTGGTCAACCCACTCCAGGAAGTCTCAAAGGCATAGTTACCTGGTATAGATTGACTACATTTTTAGTTACTGCAAAGATCAAGTTGATATTCTTCTGGGATAGCTTTTCAGTCATCAGCCCCAGAGAGGGATAATCCTAGAAAAGAAAATTTTTAAACAGAGGAAGGTGTAAAGGTTAAGGATTGAGTTTCATACATATCCCTGGATTCTAAGTCTTTGAACTTGACAGATTTGGACTTGTGACCAAGACAGAGGTTATACTTATTTCACTCAAACATTTTAGTCAGAACAAAGAACAGTGATTTGGAGATGATTTGAGTGCATCTCTTAAAACTTCAGGCACAAGAATTTAATTCCCATTGCAAAGTAAGAATATAGGAACTGTCTTGGAGCTTGTGTCAAATGTCTTAGATTCCTTGTTATGAACTCCACCATGGGGGAGGGGGGAGGTCTCAGCCTTGCTTTCCAACCATTGATCAACTCTTTTCCTTGTTCACTTATCACCAACCTGGTCCACTCTTCCTCCCATCTGGAGTAGTCATCTTTCTGGTAATCATCTTCCTTCTGTAGGACAGCTCAATCCCAGCTCCTAAAAAGCTTGCTTTCTTTAGATGCTGAGAGCCCTTGACTATGCCACCAATTTAGCATTCATCATGCATTTTGTGTTATCAATACATATATCCTCTTTCCCCAACTAAGCCAAAAATCTTATGAAGAGTTAAGATCTTACATATATTGCTTTCATAGCCAAGTATGAAAGTCTAATGCTCTTCCCATTATCCCAGTGCTCAACTTGGCTATGGGTGACACCAAGGAATGAATTCACATGTCCATGGAACCCTAGGTCTCTTTTGGGAGAGTCATGAGATCATCCAGCATACTCTGGTGAACCTCAATAAGTTAGTTCCTCTATTTGTGGTCTTTAAAAGATGAAGAGTGGGGATGGGGAGGTGGCTCAGTGTAGAGTGCTTGTCTTGCATGCACGAGTCCTTGACTTAGATTCCTCAGCACCACATAAGTACAACAAGCCAGAAGTAGCAGTGTGGCTCAACTGGTAGAGTGCTAGCCTTGAGCTGAAAAGCTAAGGGACAGCACCCAGGCCCAGAGTTCAGGCCCCATTACCGAAAAAAAAGATGAAGAGTGAGTTGGGGTAAAACTCAATGGTACAGGGCTCACCTAGCATGTATAAGACTTTGGGTTAAATCCCCAGTACTGGAAAAAAAAAGGTCTAGGCATGGTGGTGCATACCTATAAGCCCATCATTTGTAAGGCAAGCAAGTCTCAACCTCAAGATTAGTCTTGACTACATATTAAGACCATACCACCAAAAAAATGAAAAGAGAAAAAAATGAAAACTTCATATTTCTCCCTCTCCCACCTACTCAGATATATGAAGTGCCAGTGTTCTGAACATCAGTACCTATGTTTTATGGCTTAAAAAAGATTTTCTCCTGCTTCAATTTAAACTTCTTGTTATCTATCTATCATCTATTGATTCCCAGTCCAGGGGCTTGAACTCTGGTCCTGAGTGCTGTCCCTGAACTTCTTTTTGCTCAAGGCGAGCACTCTGCCACTTGAGCCACAGTGCTACTTCTGGCTTTTTGAATAGTTTATTGCAGATAAGAGTCTCACAGGCTTTCCTGCCCAGGCTGGCTTCAAACCATGATACTCAGATCGCAGCCTCCTTAGTAGCTAGGATTACAGGCATAAGCCACCAGCACCCAGCTCTTGTCTCATATTTAATAAGCTAGTTATGGTTAACTAATTAAATCATATAACTTACCAGAAGTCTTCTTGAATACTATCCTATATTATCTACAGGCCTTCTTTCCTTCAAGTTAAATGACTCTAAGCTCTTTAACCTTTCCTCATAGAACCTACTGTCAGTCTTTTTTATCTTTGTCCCTTTTCCCTATGTCTTCTCCCAATAACATGGTATCCCACTGGGGATCTGCAGAGGAAGATCTGCTTATAGCTCAGCATTTGGGTCCACTCTGGACACCATGATACTACTGCCTGTGCTGGCGACAGTGGAGGCAATGAATACACTGACCACATCAAGACCATCTCTAATAGTTGTTCAGGTTATACCCTAGGGACAACCACAGGCTATCCTGCTGGTAAGGGGCAGAAGAAGGATGAAATTGAGCCCTGTCTACTGCCCAGGGGAAGGTCTGCCATCTTCACGTTCACATAAAAGCTGCAGATGGGTTAAAGCAGCCCTGGCCACAGTGAGTAGGAACCATGGTGATGCCAGGGATCTCACCATGGTAGTAGAAGCAGAGTAATGATTGTCATTGCCAATGTGACACTGCCCATCGTTGGGCTGGACAATGCCAGCCAGCCTTCCATCCAGTGCTATATGGGTCTTGGCATCTGTGGTAAATACCAGCAAGTGGGATGCATCGTTCCTCCAGCCAATTTTTTCCTGTTTAAAAACAAAAAGCAAAAGAGGCCATGCAAGTTCAGCCCAGCTGTTGGTAGAGAACAAAGACTCAATACTCATTCTCAGGAAGGGCTGCTTGAGCAGGACCTCCAATCCCAGTCCATGGACCCTCAGCCAGAGCTTTCTGATTCAGGAGTTTCTGCCTTCTTAGAAACAGCTGGTTAGTGGAAGCAATTGAATGGCACCTTCTTTAATCCCAAACATAATTCTTCTATTAGCAGTCATGTTACCCATCTAGAAACCCATCTGTATCCTCAGAGCTGGCTAGGCAAGGAGGAATCCCATCTTACCATCTGTTCAGACTTAACTCTGAGATCAGGGCTCTTCTGGACAAGGGCCAGGCACCAGTGGCTCATGTCTGTAATTCTAGCTTCTCGAGAAGATGAGATCTGAGGTTCACAATACAAAGCCAGCTTGGAAAGGAAAGTTAGTGAGCCTCTTGTCTCCAATTAATCATCAAAAAGCTGGAAGTGAAGCTTAAGTGGTGGAGCACCAGCCTTGAGCAAAACCTTGAAGGGACAGCACACAGGCCCTGAGTTCAAGACCCAGTACCAGCATCCCCCCCAAAAAAAAATTGTTGGGAAGGTGGAAGATGCTGTGTCTAGGAAACCTCTGCAATGACTGTGATTCAAAGAGCTATCAGCCCAGGGCAGGGAGTGGATATACACAGAGGCTACGTAACAACTTTTTACTCATATTGCGCAAAATTCTGCTTTGTTCCTACTTAACTCTTATCATACCAGAAATCCCCAGAGTAAGCTATTTACTTCCTCATTTTGATCTGTACCAACAACACCTGGCACCCCACACCGTCTAAACTCACATCACACACTGTAGCCTGCATGATGGCATCAAAGCCACCCTCTGGGGCATCTCGGTTCCGTGACACCCTCTGCTTCTTGACTTCCTCATTGAAGCGGGTCACCTGGTCGGTCAGTGTCAGCACGTGTTTGTAGCCAAACATGGGCAAACAGGTAGTCTTCAAACTGGGGAGGGATAAGAGGTCATTTAAGTCAAAACTCTGATGGAAAAGGCAACATGGGGTTAGGAGGAAAAAAAGAGGGACAAATGTGGACAGTATATGCTTACATGTCAATTCCATACAATTAAATAAAATCTTCCTCCCTCCCTCCTTCCTTCCTCCTTTCCTTCTTTCATTTCTTTCTTCCTTCCTCTCTCTCCTTTCTGTTTCTTCTTTCTTTGTTGCTTTCTTTCTCTTTCTTCTTCCTTTCTTCTTTCTCTGTGGTGCCAGGGATCTAACCTAGGACCTCAGGCATGTTGGGCCAGTTCTCTACCTCTGAGCTACATCCCTGGCCCTATAAAATCACACTTAGCTAAACAATTTAATTCCTTCAAATGACCTAGGGCCTCACATTAATCTGAACTCTAGCTATCCTAGAAGATAAAAAAGAAATGTAGACTACCTGGGTTCAAATCTCAGCATCCCCATTTACAAGATGTGGGACCACTAGCAACATCTCTAAACCTAACCTAGAATAATTGGACATTATTCATTATTCTTCTTCACTCAAGTGAGTAAAGCATATAGACCAGAGTGAAGCTTGAGTTCTTATGGCCATCATCTTACAATTAACATTTAACATTTCTTACAGCATCAATAAAACCAAAGCCTTCTGTACATCACCTTTATAATAACAATATTTTTAAATAGATGACATTAAGGGAAAAAAAGCAAAAGTCCATCAACAAATAAAGATCCCTGAATTACCAATAAATGGATAGATTATGCCAGACTGGGGTACTGCTCACCCGACAGTAATAATAAGCTTAATCAATAGCTGATACCTTTGTTAGAAAAACCCGGTATAGACAAAAGGTTAAAAGCCGTATCATGGGCTGGGAAGGTGGCTCAGTGGTGGAGTGCTTGCCTTGCATGCATGAGGCCCTGGGTTCAATTCCTCAGCACCACATAAGCAAAAAAAAAAAGCCGGAAGTGGCGTTGTGGCTCAAGTGGTAGAGCACTAGCCTTGAGCTGAAGAGCTGAGGGACAGTGCCCAGGCCCAGAGTTCAGGCCACATGACTGGACTCAAAAAAAAAAAAAGCCGTATCATATAACTTTGAAAACTAAAATTAAATTCACCTATAGAGAGGCTCCATAACCATCATTTTAAATCATCATAATACATGAATTTGCATAGTACCATGAATTAAATAAGCCATTTAGTACTAAGCCAATGTGTGAAACAGAGGCATACAGCTGGAGATGCTCAGGGTAGAGAACTTGATTAGCATGCATAAGGACCTGTGGCTCAATCCCAGCTACACATACACACACACACACACACACACACACACACACACACACACACACACACACACAATCAGGCACTATGGTGCATACATATAATCCAGTACTTGGGAGATTGAGTTCTCCTAACTAAGAGTTCAAGGCAAGCCTGGATGAGCTACATAGTAGACTTTGTCTCAAAAACCAAAAACAGAGAAGTGGCGCTGTGGCTCAAGTGGTAGAGCACTTGCCTTGAGCTAAAGAGCTCAGGGACAGGGCCCAAGCCCAGAGGTCAAGCCCCACAGCCAACCAAAAACAAACAAACAAACAAACCAAAACAGGCCAGGCGCCCAGAGGCTCATGCCTGTAATCCTAGCTACTCAGGAGGCCGAGATCTGAGGATCTGGGTCCAGGACCAGGCCCAGAGTCCCACAACCAACAAAACAAAAAACAACAACCAAAAAACCACAATCCAAATGCCAGTGGCTTGTTACTATAATACTAGTTACTCAAGAGGCTAAGATCTGAAAATATTGGTTTGAAGCCAGCCTGGGCAGGAAAAGTCTGTGTGATTCTTATCTCCAGTGAACTGGAGCTATGGCTCAAGAGGTAGAACACCAGCCTTGAACAACAACAACAACAAAAAAAAAAAACTGAAGAAAAAAAGAGAAAAGCATAATTTATATATTATTAAATGATATGATAAAGTATCATTTCTACTCTTACATTCCTCTAGGCTTTTTAACCATGCAAATTCTATTCTCTTGATGATGAGAATCATGACAACAATCTAATCAATCCTTCTGAAAACGGAATTCCTCCATTTATTCATTCCTACAGTCCTGTATGTGGTTGACCTCATTTTCCTTCCAAATTCTTTTGCCACTTATGTTTTTTTTGCTGGTCATGTGGCCTGAACTCAGGGCCTGCGTGCTGTCCCTCAGCTCTTCAGCTCCTGGCTAGCACTCTACCACTTGAGCCACAGCGCCACTTCCAGCTTTTTCTGCTTATGTGGTGCTAAGGAATCGAACCCAGGGCCTCATGAATGCAAGGCAAGTGCTCTACCACTGAGCTACCTTCCCAGCCCCGCCACTTATGTATTTGTGCAAAAATCAAGAAGCTGATGAATTTTTCTTTCTACAACCCTAAGCAGCCTGGAACCCTGTGGCACAAATACACCATGTCAGTAGGCTCACCCATTTGTCAGATAAGGAGACCAAGTGAAAAGGAGTTACTGTTTTGGCCAAAGGGAAGCCAAACCAAAATAATCCTAAGAGCTAGAAATAAGAACCAGGACTTGGACCTGCCTGGGACAAAGGAAGAGGATTCTGTCCAGCTTCAAGATGAGGTACTTACTCGTAACAGGGATTTTTGAGGGCCTCTGCTGGAGAGATGTACATATATGGTGATACAGGCTTGTCCACAAAGGCCCCAAAGCCAATCCGCAGGTTGCTAGTGAGTGAGCGCATCTGGGAGGCCAACTTTGTACCCAGATTACGGATGCTCGAAAGATCATCATTCATGGAGTAAGACAGATCCATCAAGTAATAGATGTCTACAGGGTAATCTTCTACCTGCCGCACTTGGATGGAGAAAATCTTGGAATCATCTGGAAAGCAGAAAAATGTTGGGGGTTTTTCCCCTCCTTTTCTTCTTCTAAGACTGAGTTAATTTGACCTGGCCACAGTTGGGAATTGTAACTGCTTGATCAAACCGACCTTGGAAGTCTTAGTCCTTTCTCTCCTCCCCTTACAATTCTGTTCTTCTTCTAATCTCTTTACCTCCCCCTATTTTAACCTCTTCTTTCCCATCCTCTAACTCATTATCTAATCCTCTGTGTTTCCCTTGTCTACCATCCTGAGACACAGAGAAGTTTTGGCAATTGCTACATTTTAGACTTCATGAAAGACAGGAACTAGGTCCTACTTTCTGAATCCTGTAGAACCCATTCCTTATATTGAATAAGTCTCTATTAAATTCTTATTGATTTAACCAGTAGATCAAAACTAATGCTTCAAATCAAGCCTGTCTCTTATCCTAATCTTTCCCTCTCAAGGTCTTCTGTCTCTAATTTATCTGCCCCAATGTCCCTGATCTTAAACCCCTTGAACAAGGTTCCTAACTTGCCTTCTTATCCTTTATTTATGCCTCAACATAAAGCTATAAAGAAAAGAAAACAGGCATTGAGGAAAAGAAGAAGCAGAAATGTATTTGACTCCTATTGTGTCAGTGGAATTAAATAACTTGCCAAGTAACTAATACAAGGTGAAATTACTACTCAAACCCGTATCTCTAACTCAAATCCTAGTAGCTCCCATTTTCTTGCATTCTCCTGCCTATAGCTTTCTTTTCCCACCCTATTTCCATTCTGGGCTACTCCTTCAAGATTTCCCCTTCAGACCTTCACATTGTCCTCCAGGACCACCTGTCCCAGGTATCTCCCAAAGGTAAGCAGTCCTACCTGGCCGAAGCCGGAGTGCAATCCTCTGAGGACTGACTTGAGTCACTTGGGAGCTGTCTCCAGAACCCTTGTCGCTGAGGGGTCTAGCCTCCAAGATTTGGGCCTCGCTGACCGGGAACTCGATGGACTCTGGAGCACAATTATCCCTCAGCAGATTATCCTTGAGGTTACAGCGAGGAGAGCCCTGAGGCAGGGCCTGGAAGGTAGTAGCCCAAAGGAAATACCCACAATGAGAGCCATGGCAACACACATGTGCCTGAACACACACACACACACACACGCATACACACACACACACACACACACACTTGCTTAAGAACTAAATCGGCATAAATGAAAATCCCTGGGACTGTGAAGTAAAAGGGGAAACTGAGATATCAGAAGGGCTGAATGAGTGTTTGTAACCAGGAAGAGACTTATACAGTAAGTTGTCTTCCAGAAAAGCATGTTTCCAACTGTGAAATGCAATTGTGAGTCTCAAAATTAATGCAGTAGGCAGTGAGATAAAATGCAGTGGAGGGGCTGGGAAGGTGGCTCAGTGGTAGAGCACTTGCCTTGCATGCATGAGGCCCTGGGTTCGATTCCTCAGCACCACATAAGCAAAAAGAAAAAAGCCAGAAGTGGCGCTGTGGCTCAAGTGGTAGAGTGTTAGCCTTGAGCTGAAGAGCTGAGGGACAGCGTCCCAGGCCCAGAGTTCAGGCCTCACGACTGGACCCAAAAAAAAAAAAGAATCTCTATATTTATCTGCTCAACCTTCTTCAAACTGAGATAGTCAGATCTATAATCTTCTGAGTAGCAGGGATTATAGCAGTGAGCCACTGGCACCCAGCTTGATGGGCAAAATGTTTTTATTTTGCAAAATAAAAAGAACTATGGAGATGAAAAACAATGCTGGCTTATGAAGATGGTGATACATTATGAATATATTTAACACCACTCAATTGTACATTTAAAAGTCATTAAGATACTGGACACCAGTGGTCTGCATCTGTAATCCTAGCTACTCAGGAGGCTAAGATCTGAGGATTATGGTTTGAAGCCAGCCAAGGCAGGAAAATCCTTGAGACTCTTGTCTCCAGTTAACTCCCTCCCCCTCCCGCCACCAAAAAAAAAAAAAAAAGTGAAGCTGTGAGTCAAGTAGAAATGCACTAGCTAACAGACAACACCCAGGCCCTGAGTTCAAGCCCCAGGATGAGCATGCATGTGCACACACACACACACACACACACACACATACACACACACCACACACACGTTAAGACAGAGCCTGCAAAGTGGCTCAAGTGGAAGAGTATCTGCTGTGTAAGCACAAGGCCCTGAGTTCCAAACTCAGTAGCACCAAACAATGGTTTACATGGTAACATAGTTAGATATATTTTGCCAAATAATAATAATCCCTTTCTCATAGGGAGGTCATGTGGGGCTAAATAAACAATGCATGGAAACACATAGCACAATAAATGTTAGCTATTATTGTGAAATGTTTGATAAATAGTTCCCAAATAAGTTAATGATGAATGAACTCCACAAGCTTGGGGAAATACCATGATGCCAGGATACTGACATAATGCTTCAAAAAAAGCTGTCTATGGGGGAAAGCAAAGGAAGGGGATAACATTGTCCAAAAAGAAATGGACTAAGTGTACTTATTACCTGACTTACGAAATAGTAACCCCTTTGTACACCTTAATAATAAGAAAAAATTTAAATCACTCTTTTTAAAACTGTCTATTCTAAACCAGAGCCTATCCTATCACCTCCCTTCTTCAATCAAGACAAAGAGAACATTGAGCCAAACATCCAAACACCCTGACATGCCTCCCACCACCCTCTGGCTCTATACTGCTTACACATGAATATTGAGGGGGGGTGGCTGCACTGATAAGAACACCAGAAACCAGGAAACAGACTTGATGCTGGGTCTGCCACTAGCTAGTCATGTGACTGACCTCAGAGCCGTCACCTGGCCTCGGCTTCCTCGTCTATTCAATATTTTAGTTCCACCCTGCTCTGACACTGATGGAATTCAGCCATGAGGACTCATTGCCAGGCTAAGGAGACCTGGTGACCTAGAAAGTCCCTTCCTAGGCCTTCAGGCTCTTCAACCCAGCCTTTCCCCAAAGTCAGTTAGATGACCTAGACCAATATCCAGAACAACTAGGAGAAACATTTATGGAGCACTCACTATATCAATCACTATGGTGAATACATGAATTACTACAATCTTCCTGACAGTTCTGGAAAGCTGGAATTTTTTCTTATTCTATAAGTGAGCAACCTAAGGTTCAGAGGCTTCACAAATAAGGAACCCAATCTTGTAGTTAGGAAATCTGAGGCTTGAAGAAGTTAAATAATTTGCCCAAAGTTGTAGAGATAGGAAGTGGCACAATTGAGGTCCCACCTCTAGATTATTAGAATAAAATTGTCCTCAAGTACTTTCATTCCATTTTAAACAAGGAAAGGCTTAAAGAAAAGAAGTGAGCATGTAGAAGGGATGGTCCTAGGACAAGCCCAGCACAGAATGTTTTACATAGGGAACAGGATACCAGCTGGGGAGGTGAGAGGTATGAGGAAGGGTGGATAAAGTCCTTCCTCTCCAGCCTGCTCTTGTGACCTGGCAACCATAATGTCCAAAATGGGATCGGCCACAGGGAGATATCCATGCTCAGTAACTTAGTAGCTCAAATCCCTTGGGATGCTCAAAGTCCCTGCCTGTCTCCCTCTGATGGGCTAAAGGCCAACTTCACAACTCATGGACACAAAAGCAGCAGCCTAAGGACCATAACCCTTTCCCCCCACCCACCCACTGTCCCGTCCAAGCAAGAAAATGAGAAGAGCCTCCTTCTTTCTCTCTTTTCTCATCAAAAATAGGACAGAAAAGGCCTCAACAGTAAGGACTAGTGCATAAGATTTAACCTTCCTGCTACAGTTCTATCCACTGAGATGTCACAGACCTTCCACCACACTGAGAAAGGAAAATCTCAGCTCCCTCACCCAACTCTGGAGAGAACTCCTGGGCCCTGTAAGTTTTGTACCCAGCTGCTCTTGATCCTTGTCTCTATCCCCACTCTTTTCCCTCAGGAAACAAGTCTCTTTCATCCAAAAAAAAAATCTCTTATCTCTGATTCCAGTTATCCACAAAACCCAGAGAAAACCTTCCCCCAAAAGGCAATGATCAAAGCACAAAGATGCCAGAGAAACTGATCCTCTCCAGGACAAGAAAGATGCTGGAGGAAGAAGCTTAAGGGGAGACACCAGGGAAATGACTGAGATCAGCATGTCATCAAGTATCTTCAGGCTACTGTAGTGCAAGGGTTAGCGAAGGGAGAGATGGCTTCTGAGGTGGGGATCCTCACATCCCCTTCCTCACACAGCTGTCCTAATTAGAAAAGTGTTATGAAGTGCTCAGATGAGTCTTTGGGTTGGGCATAAATCTCCTTAGGAAAAAATATAAACACTGAAAAACAAAACCTGACTCTCTGGCTCCCTTTGTGCTTTCTGACATCAGAGGTCAAAAACCTCCCAGCTTTCCCTTAAAAGCCTCCTGTCCTGGAAAGATACCAAAGCAGTGACCTCAGCACTCTTGAGCAACATTCCTTCCCTGAATAACCCAGGGCTGAGATGGCAGAAGGAGGTCTAGTTTCTCAGAGAGAAAACTAGAAAGGGACTAGATGCTGAAGTTCTAGTTCCCAGTGAAACCGGATGTTACACAAATAGGTCAAAAATAGCAGACCCAGGGAAAAGATCCTGAGCACAGGGGTGGGATATATTCCAATCTTTTCCGACATGGTATGAACAAATAAAAGTAAATAGAAAGTGACTTTCTAGGAGGAGGGCAAGAAGAGAGATGTTCTAGGGTTTTCTTTTATTACAGAAAGGTACATTACCATCTTTGTTTTGATTGGCTCATCGGTAAGGACAAGTAAACACCTGAACACAACAAAAAAGACATGTGAAAGGGAAAGAAAAAAAGAAGAGAAAGAAAACATTTTGGTTTATGGTTACTGAGTCACACTTCAAGGGTTTTACAAGAAGAACACTATTATAATTAACACATTTTTGTTTTCATTTTTGATTTTTATAGTAATGATTGGAGCATAACTCAAGATAGACATTTATCCTCCAGGTTAAAATTAAGTAGAAAGCTGGGGGCTCATGCCTGTAATCCCAGCTACTCGGGAGGCTGAGATCTGAAGATCGACATTGAAAGCCAGCCAGAGCAGAAAACATCTGTGAGACTCTTATCTCCAATTAACCACTAAAAGCCAGAAGTGGTAGAGTGATAGCCTTGAGCAAAAAAGCTCAGGGACAGTGCCCAGGCCTTGAGTTCAAGCCCCAGTAGTGGCATCAAAGAAGGAGGAAGAAGAGGAGGAGGAAGAAGAGGAGGAGGAGGTAGAAGAGGAGGAAGAGGACGAAGAGGAGGAGGAGGAGGAGGAGGAAAGAATAGCAGAAAAGTAAAAATATAATTATATTAGTCACTAAAAAGGCCTATTAAAAATGGCCTACAGCCTGTGCAGTTACAGAAAAAAAAAATCCTCTTGCTGGGCACTCATGGCTCATACCTATAATCCTAGTTGCTCAGGTTAGCTGAGAGCTGAGGAGCAAGATTTGAAGCCAGCCCAGGCAGGATACCACCAAAAAGCCAGAAGTAGAGCTGTAGTAGAGCTAGCCTTGAACAGAAAAAGCTAACAGAGCGCATGCATGAGTGTACACACTCTCTTGCAGTCTTACTGTATTTCACCCCCATTCTCCCACTTTCATTTTTTAGATGTCAGACTCAGTGTGAGCTGCTCCACCCTCCCATGTGCCTATATATGTGTGCCTATATATGTGCTTATATAACAATTCTTAGTATTTCTCTCTGATTTAGGGTTGTCAAACTTAGCAAATCTTTGAGACATATCAATACTAACAGTTCTGCATTTAACTCAAATTTAATTAGGTGTTCTATCTTTAGCTGGCAACATTAACTCCACCCCCACCCACCTGGACCCATAGGCAACCTCTCCCATTAGCAATGTTTATCCAACTTGCTACCATACAAACCATTTGGATGCAATGAGTCCAGGGTCCATCCTGAGAGCCCTGATTTTTTCCTCACACTCCTTAGGCAACACCTACCACCAGGTAAGTTTGGGAGGACTTAGAAACCAGAATAGCACCCCTGAGGCTAAGAGTATACAAGCTAAATCTCTGCAGGAAGCTGGTCTCTGTGTTGGATGTACAGACTAGAGTTGACACACCACCTCAACTCATTTCAGTATGTAACCCTCCAAGAACACACCCTATACAGATGGGCCCCAAACACCAGGCTCATGCACATTGGCTGTGTTTTCCTACTACCCAGCCAAGCACTCACTATACACACCCAAGAGTTGCTGTCCTCTAAGGACCATGGGAAGCTGAGCCCAACCAGTTGTTTTCCCAGGCACTACCAAACATTGCCTGAAACAGACAAGGCAGGGGAGTACTGGGCTGTACCCCTGGCCCCACCTTTGTTTTTGGCTTATGTCAAGGACCAATGCACTCTCAACTGTTAAAACTGATCTTTGCTGGGGAGAAGAGGAAGTCTTGCTCCCTTGGTGGGTGGGGAGGGTAAAAAGAAATGATAGCAGTCATATTGGGGTTATACGCCCCATTCTTATCTCTTTCTTCCTTGGTTGACATGATTCCCCCACAGTGGGATGTTCCACCCTCTCTCTCTTTGCTCCTCCTCCTGTTCCATTGATGGCTGCAGTCATTCACTCCACTCCATGCTCCTGGGAATAGCTCAGTAGTCTTTCCATCTCCCTCATTTAATTCTCTGTGTCCTAGCTGCACCCATGTCCTTACTCCATGCCTCCCCCCCTGCCCCCCCCACCCCGCCACGCCTGCCACATACTTTAATGCTATCCTGCGCCTTTCCTCTGCCTTCTTGAGTCTGTCCTAGAAGACAAAATTCACCAGAGTCACCCATCAATACTCCACATTTGCATAACTGCAATCAGGTTACCTGACTTAAGGGCTGTAGATGATCAGACTTAGCTCTGGCTGGTCCCTATCAGATCAAGGGGGGTGAAAATATGCAAGAGGGGGTGGGGAGAAGGTCCAAGATAGACTCTCCAAACCCTCTGTTTCCTTTTCCTCCAGAGTCTGGACCTGAGTTGTCTGCCTTTGCTCTTGCTTTGAGTTGAAAAAGAGAGGGGGAGGAGGGGAAAATATCAGAGTGACACTAGGGTGTCTGCCTCAGTCCCCCTCTGCTCTAGCCAACTTGAGGCCAGACAATCCAAACATAGCCCCCTCTGCACCACCACCACCCCCTTTCCACTTCTAGGACGCATTTGCAGAATTCTACCCTCCTTACACATGATGCCGATGCCATAATATCTGATGGAAATTAAAGAAAGGAAGATATGGTCAAAGAAAAGAGAGGGAGGAGGCCACATCATACTCTGGCCAGCTCAGGCCAGAGGGGTGGGACTCCTGCAGGGGTAGAAGAGAAGGGCTCACCCTCCCTCCCACCCCCTTCCCCCAACCCCAGGGAATATTTCATTTCCAAAATGAAGTCAATATGGCCCAGATGTTGGGCAGCTGCCTCTGGAAGCAGTTGTCATGCTGAACAGCATGGGAGGCCAAAACAGTGTTGAGCTGGCCTCGGATGCTCCGGTAAGTATACTGTCAGGAGTTGAAGGGGGCGGGTGGATAACACAGCCTCCTCATTTCTTCTCTTCCCACACTCTGCCAAGGAGGTTGCCTTTTTAGGAAACTCAGCAGATCAGGAAGAGAAACAGAGAGAATGAGAGGCAGCCATGAAGCTGCAGAGCTCAGGAGCAAGCTACATGACCGAGGTGTGGTGCCTCCAGTGGCTGAGAAGCAGCCAGCCAAGAGTTCAGGTAAACACCTGCTATCTGTGACTCAGCCTCAGATTGGAATCATTGGCAGTCTCTCCAGGCCCATTCACTCCTCCCACCCCTTACCAGCTCTTGCCAGCTCCAAATTCCCATCCTAGCCACAGACATAGCCATTCCCTCAGACACACTCATTCCCTTGGGCCCCAGACACAACAAACCCTGACTAGACACAGCTAACCCTTTCCTGTCACTCTTTCATGCCCACCAATGAGTCCAGATTCTCTCATGGACACCTAGGAGATGGAAGGAGAGAGAGACAGAGACAGAGAGAGAGAGAGAGAGATGTTTGATCATCCAGGAGGAAAGAAAAGATGCTCAGATAGAACACTCCATACACAAGTGAAAGATTTCTATGTGCATTAAAAAAAAATTCTAGGAGGGGGGGATGTAGCTGAGGAGGTGGGAGGGAGGGATGGTAGGGAAAAACAAAGGAGGAGGCAACAATGCTGGATAAGAAATGTACTCATTGCCTTGCTCATGTAACTGTAACCCCTTTGTACAGTATTTTCACAATAAAAAACTTAATTTAAAAAATTCTAGGAAAAGGAAGTAAGCTAGAATCCCCCCCCATTCCTACAGCCCCCCCTGCCTCTCCTTTTGAGATCTGGGACTATTATTTCCTGGGATGTTCCACCCTAACAAAACAAACAAAACAAGCAAAGGATAATATAGGGTACCAAGGCCAGATATTCAACTAGAAGCTAGGGGAAGGGGAAAAGGAGGAAAGGAAGAGGATGTTCACAGTAGTATGAATAGCAATAGCAGTAACAGCTCTAAGGCAGCTCTTCTCCTTCTATCAAAGGATATTCTTTACCCTAGTGTTGCTTAGAAGGGGTGGGGGCTGTGGTTTAGAAGGAAGATACAACCTATGTGCCTATTCCTATACAAGCATCTAGGTCTAGAGAAGCTAGGTAAGATGTGTTCTGCTTACCTCATCAGAGCACCAGGCACACACAGGACTCACAGCCAGACACTGCTGGCAGGAGCTCACTCCTCTTGAGGTACAGATGTTTGTCCCTGCAACAGAGAGACAAAGTCATTTGATTTGTACCTGACTTGGGCTCATTGAAAGAACTGACCTGCACCATCTTCCCCAACTTACCCTTCTGGAATTCCCACCAACACGTTCTATTCATGCTACAGACATTTACTAAACACAAGGTATTGGTAAGGAAGAGAGAAAACTGATGATGGAGAGAAAACTCATTACCAGCCTTAACATACATGGCCACAGTGACAGAAGATGCTAAGTCTAAGCCAAGGGTCTAATGGTAACCGGTGGAAAAAAAAACTTTAATAACTACTTTGATAACTACGTGGTCCAAGTGAAAATCTGAAGCCCAGAGTAATGGTGATGTGTCTTCTCCAATGATACTAGCAAGATTCAACCACTATGGAAGAGCCAACGACCAGATGCACTAAGTTTAACATGTAACTTGGTATGGTGGGGACAGGGTGTGCAGGGTGACTTTAATAACAGTGTCCCACTGGCTCCCTAAGGGAAACAAAAACTTCTTAAGTGTTTGAATCCGTATTTCTTGGGACCCATGTGTAAGAATTCTCTGAAGAACCAAAGACACATTCGAAAACGTTGAGTGCTGGAATCTGGAAGACCATGGAAATTTGGGGTTGGAAGCAAGATTTGTGTTTGAATTATGTGTTGGACTTTCTCTTCATGTCGGGGCCTAAATCACCTTGCATAATCTCTACAAAGTGATGTATCTACCTCACAGAATGATGCAAAGATCCAGAGGGTCAAGGGTTACATTACAAGATGCCAATCAAATGTGAACAGCTCTCATCCTGACAGAAGGCAGAGAAAAGGCTGGGGGAGGAGCAGCAACAGCCAAGGGGACTAAAATAGCCCTGAAAAGCCCGCCAGCCAACGCCAGGCATTTGCTTGGGCAGAAGCTGCATCCTCCCTGCTCTCCTAGTTCAGCCTCAGCCAAGTAAACCCCCTCTCCCTAGAGGATCCCCAGAAAGGCCCCTTCCATTAAAGTGGGGGCGGGGGAATCCATCTTGACCCATGACTCGCTTATCCTGACAGTTTTTTTTTAATCTGATTTTCTTTTTTTGTTGTTGTTTTGGTTTGATTTTTTTTGGGGTCCGGTCATGGGGCCTGAACTCTGGGCCTGGTCGCTGTCCCTCAGCTCTTCAGCTCAAGGCTAGCGCTCTACCGCTTAAGCCACAGCGCCACTTCTGGCTTTTTTCTTTTTGCTTATGTGGTGCTGAGGAATTGAACCCAGGGCCTCAGGCATGCAAGGCAAGCACTCTACTACTGAGCCACTTCCCAGCCCCTAATCTGATTTTCTTAACAGTTGTCCCAAACTGTTAAGACTGGCAAATCAATTTCTGAGGAAATCACCCTAACTGTTGGGGGTATTTCCCCAGCATCCCCAAAACCAATCTAGCCAAATGTCTGTTTTATCACAGTGTAACTCTACATCCTCCATCCCTCCACACTCAGAAAGTGTGCTATCATGGTTAGAGATTACCTGTACCATTGTTGGATTTCTGTAGATTAGGATATTTTACAGTCTCTTAGAGAGAGACAAACAAAACTAATGACAGTATAAATGGTGGGGGTGGGGGAGGGGGGGTGTGCATGCAGGCCAATACTGAAGTTTGAACTCCAGCCTCATACTTGGTGTTTTGGGTTTTCTTCTCACCTAACACAGCTTGTTACCACTTAAGCCATATTTCTACCTCCAGCTTTTTGCTAGTTAATTGGAGATGAGTCTTCTGTATTTGTCCTCCTAGGCTGGTTGTGAACCTCAAGTCTCAGCTTCCTGAATAGCTAGAATTATTAGCATGAGTACCAGCAGCCAGCTATATATAATTACTGATGAGAACACAGCATATGATTCTGACCCAACAAAAATGCCAATGATTTCTGTCTGGTAGAAAAAGTAATCGCTAGCTTGGTACTAGTGACTCACTCCTTTAATCCTAGCTACCCAGAAGGCTGAGATCTGAGAATCTGTTTCAAAGCCAGCTTGGGCAAGAAAGTCTGTGAGATTCATCTCCAAATAACCACCAGCTGGTGGAGCTGGTGCAGTTCCTCAAAGTGGTAGAACACTAGCCTTAAGCAAAAGAACTCAGGGATAGTGCCCAGGTTATTGGTTCAAGTGCCCAGGCTATTGGTTCAAGCCCCCCGATCAACAGAAAGAGAGAGAGAGAGAGAGAGAGAGAGACAGAGACAGAGAGGAGATAGGGAGATAGAGGCAGGCAGGGGGAGGGAGACAGAGAGAGAGAAAGGAAGGAGGGAAGGAAGGAAGGAACGAAGGAAGGAAAGAGAAAGAAATTAAGCTTTCATGGTACTTGTAGCATCTCAGTCGGATCACATGGACCTGAGAGAGAGTGCACATACAATCAATATACTGTGGTCCAAATTTAGTCACCCACAAACAGCCTGGCCTTGGATATATTAACTCCCCAGTCTCATCTTTTTCAACTTCTTCTTCTTATTATTCTTCTTCTTATTCTTATTATGTAGTATCTTCTTTAATGAAAATGCTACCCAATAGAGTTAAGTCCCTGAGGGGCCTGCCCTGACTAGACCAAGCTCAGTCCTTGTGCAAAGGAGATATTCAGGAAATAATGTACTTAAGCAAGTTGAAAGGTATCAAACTTGCTTTGTTTTGTATCAGCTTTATTTTGTGCGACTGAGCTCATTTCTCAAAATTATCTATAGATTTCTAAAATATGTAAATAGATCCATAGGACAATTTCAACTTTCATTGCTCTTCCCCCAAGCATTAGATTATATGTAAATTCTGGAAGAACTTCTAGAGTCAAACTTCAGAGACCTTTCTCAGTTCTAAAGTGCAACCAATGGAGCCAGACACTGGTGGCTCATGCCTGTAATCTTGGCTACAGGGGAAGCTGAGTACAGGAAGATCTCAGTCTGAGGCTATCTGGGGCAAAAAAATGCTCACAAAACCACTCTTCAACCCAAAGCAGGATATAATGGTGCCTGCCTGTCATCTAAAGCTATTGGGAGGACTGAAGTTCCAGGCCAGCCCTTGGCATAAAAGCTTGTGAGACTCCAGGCCTGTGATCCTAGCAACAGCAGGAAAGTCTAAGGTAAGTGATTAATGGGTTGTGCCTCAGTGGAAAACACAACCCTATCTCAAAAATAACCAGTGAAAGAAGACACTATGTTGAAAATGAACTTTACAACTTGTGGGGGGGAGGGAGGGAGGAGTTGGGGAGGTGGAGAAGGAAGGGATGGTAGGGGAAAAACAAAAGAGGAGGTAACAATGATTGATAGGAAATGTACTCTTTACCTTACTCATTTAACTGTAGCCCCTATGTACACTATTTTTACAATAAAAATGTATTTTAAAAATAACCAATGAAAAACAGGGCTGGAGTCATTGCTCAGTGGTATGACATGAGCCAAGCAAGTCAAAGCCCTGAGTTCAAATCACACTTCTGCAACAAAAAAAA